TAATTAGTGAAACATGGTGTAGGATATTTTGGTATCCGCTTTGAAAAGTCATTTTGTAAACATAATTTATAGACAAATAGCAAGATCAGGAACAATTCTTTGGAGGAAATAGCTAGAAATTACTAAAATCGTAATCAAAATGACTACCCACGACTTTGAAAGTTATGGCTAGCAACTTTGAAAAAACGAGTCATCGGAACCGTCAACTAAACGTTCATTGATTTATTCATGTATATAATTTGAATAAAGCACATTTTATCGTATTAAGTGTGATGAGCTGATATATAATTATATACTCATAAACGAGTATGGTCATCCTATCCAAAACGCTTCCGCTTGTAACTTGACGCGTTATAACGGCGCTATGAAGTTTAAACACTCCGTGTTTTTCTTCGAATCGGATCTCGGTCGTCGGCTTTCCAAGACTGATGAGATTACGCTTGGCTTATTCCTCGGGATATATTTTACTGCGAAATTACAGGCGACGTCGCGACGTTGCGACGTCTGTGAATTCATAGAATTATTATAAAAGAGCCGTCGTTTTATCTTTGAGCACGGTAACTCATTGAGAATAACTACATTCGGCAGTTATTTTAAATGCAAAACAAGTTCGCTTTATTTCTCATTTTGAAATGCGGGAACTGTTTTTTCCAGTGTTTACTAGTAATACACCCGCATCATACGGAGCAAGTTTTAAAACACAACTAAGTGTTAAAAGTAAATTAAATAAGTAAAGTAAAGTAACGGCCTATAGATGGCCCACTGTTGGGCAAAGGCCTCCTCTGTACAGAGGGTATTAGGGGTCCACCACGCGGCCCCACTGCGGATTGGCGGACTTCACATATCTTCGAAATATATTTTTTTGTTATTATTTCGGAAATGTGCCGGTTTCCTCACGATGGTTTCCTTCACCGCTGAGCACGTAATAAGTCAGCACTTAAAATTAACAATTTAATTGGTGCCAGTACCGCGGAACGAACTCTGGTTGCTAGAGTATATTTAATTAAAGGCTAGCGCCCGGATACTGAGCTATCACGGCTCACGGGCAAGTTTAGTACCATACATTCAAGCAGTAAAGCCCGCAGCGACCTTAGTTCCTTGTAAGCGTATTAGATTTAAGCGCGCCTCACATGAGCCAAGTTTGCTCGCTGGAACCTCTGCTAGTTCGCCTGTAACAATCGGCTTCTAGATTTCAAACATGCTGTGGCGGTTGGTTTTAGTGATGGTATAAAAACCATTTGTCGTGTGATTGGTGCGTATGCAAGTATTACTGATGCAATATGTATTTTACCCGCTATGTATATGTTGACAGTGATATCTGATCTGCCACTTCGTAACAAAGAACACAACAAAAGTATCGAGAAACCAGTTTTGAAATTCGTGCCATGTGTAGCCAAACGCAAATTAAACTATCATATAGCGCCACAGGATGTTTGAAAACGTGTGGTGCGACCATTAGATGTATTTCGACATATCCATACTAATATTATTAATGCGAAAGTAACTCTGTCTGTCCGTCTCGCTTTCACGCCAAAACTAGAGACAGAGAAAGGACATAGGCTATTTTTTAATTGGAAAAAAGTGTTGTAAGGGGTTGACAATATCTTTCCTTAAAATGTTATTATATATATATATATATATATATATATATATATATATATATATATATATATATATATATATATACATTTTTAAAGAAAGATATTCATTTAAGGGCTTCAAGGAATAATATTTTTTTGAAGTCGATTTTCAAAACCAAACACAGCTACCGATTTCAACATAAATTTGGTTTAATTTTTAGAGATCCATACCCAAAGGGTAAAACCTACCCTGTCTGTCTGTCTGTCCGTTTGTCACCAGCCTGTAACTTATGAACAGTGAAAGTTAGGCAGTTGACAGATTATGCTTTTCTGTTGCCGCTTAAACAACAAATACTAAAAACAAAATAAATAAATATTTAAGTGGGGCTCCGATACAACAGTCATGTTTTTTAGTTTTTTTTTCATGTTATATAACATTTGAAAAGCTAGTTGACAGCTGATTAGTTAATTTCTACAATGATCAGTGTTTCAGAAACCGGGCGTGAGTTCGGCAATCGTGGCTAGTATCCGTTCAAGTACTATTGTAATGATAAGTATGTTAAGAAGTTCGGTGGTACCTAATATGGTTATGAGTAGATTTATTCGACCGAAACTCTAAGTCGAACAGGAGCGCACGGAATTATAGGGCTAAGGGAATATTGAAAGTTGACGGGTTGGTAGAGATCATCCTCGTGGTAAGAAAACTCACCCTACCGGCTTCACGTTAGGGTTGCGTCTTCACGGAATCTTGGTAATGTTCGACTACCAACTTATTATTATTTTGGCTATTATAATATTATTCATTTATTTATTTTATTTAAGCTTCATTGTTAAACTTTAAGCTAAAGGCTACAATGGGCGGACTTAATGCCTAATGGCATTCTCTACCAGTCAACCTTTGTCATGGTGAAAAGTAGATGGTAGGTGCTAAATGAAACTATAAAAATTTAAGTTAATAAATGTGCCATAAAATGTAACATATATGTACATAAATAAATATATAGATACATACATATAAATATATACATATAAATATATATATAGAAATAAATACATAAATAAATACATATACGGATAATAAAAACACAAATGGACTAAGTGATACAAAGTCAATGATTTAACAATTATTCTCGAATTGATTTTTTGAACATAAACTTATTTGGAGCTGTTTTGATCTTATAGGGAAGGGCGTTCCAGAGATTTAAATGATAACACATTCTGGTAATGAAATGATCGCTCCAGGCTCTTTCAATCAGAGTTCTTATATTGTATTTGTAATGAATTCATGTCAAACTGTTTATTTAAAAAAATAAAAAATAAAAAAAGCCCGCTGAGTTTCTTTCACTGGTATTTCTCAGTACAGTGGCTTTCTTTTCCGAACCGGTGGTAGTATTTTGACTATCAATAAGAGAGTGTAATGCTCCTATGTTGACTAAAGACATTTGATTTGATTTGATTTGATATGTATACTTTATTGTACACCTCAAAGAATTTAGTCTTAAATAAATCAATTAATATTAAAAAAAAACTTAAAAGTTATACAATACACAATACAATAAGGCGTCTTATCGCTTAAAAGCGATCTCTCCGATGGTAATTTTCGATTTTGTCTAGCTTTCGATTTTGTCTAGCTTATAAAAACATCAGATGAAAACTTACTAATATATTTAGGTTTATATTAGCAATGTAAACTTTCATAATAAACAAAATATCAGGTGAATTTATTTTCGTTCCATAACTGTGACTATGAATCCTTAAAATATACAAAAAATAAAATTTTTTGTTTGGAATTTTTGCATCGAGTTCATTCCTACATTGCGTTAATCATGTTGACTGGGACATTTTAATAGACAATTGATGCGAAATTTTAATTATTACGTAATGGATTTGTGTGAATATCGCCGTGTGTATTTGTGCGGCACCCCTGGGGAAAATTTCGCCAACTTCTACAGTAAGAACTCTCAGGGGATTACAAGGAATGAATCAAACGTTCACATATATTGAATTCGCGCAAGTTGAGAGCTACACCGCTTCAGATATTATACATTTAGCCTTCTCACCCACCGTCGGAAGCGATTTTTTACGTTCTATGTGTTAGTTTATTTTAATGATTCGTAAAATGTTTGGCTAGCGTCGTATATACGGCGAAGTGTGACATTGTAGAACATCGAAGAATGGAAAAAGCGAAACACAGACTACTTGAATGCAATATAAGACTAAATATAAAACATCTGTGTCGAATAAAATACATCTATACCTTATTATAGTAATTAAGAGGATTCACTTTGAGTGTATATTTTATATAATGTAATAATTTGTTATTAAAATTATTTTTGATACAGTTACATTGCTTTAATTTACAATACCTAAGTGACAGAGATTATCCCCTTGTTACATACGAATGTGAATAGTTGTTTTCATGCATAGGTAATAATAGCTTTCGTTGGTTGATGGGTTGAATGCTATATTAAGTTCAGACTGATTATTGATTAATGTCCGAATATAGTGGGGACTATTGATTCGGTGACCTAATGGAAATATAATCTTCGGCCAGCGTATTCTATTCACGGGCGGCCGGGGTTTAATGCTATTACGCTAGATAGGGGATTATTAAACACAATTGATCTTTTGTGTTTCGATGAGATTCGGCGATCGTTTGCGATTCTGGACGTTATTAACTGTTGTTATTGAATGTATAATTAAGGTTTAGAAATAACACAAAGTGTTTTTTCCAAATCACACTTAAACGCATTATACTGTTGCGAAATCCATTAAAATTAAGTTGCAGTTGCACTTAAAAACGTTATTGTTTAGTGTAGATAATTAATGACAGTTTTTGGTTATTAACAAGATGTACAGAATGTTTTAAAACTGTTAACTGTATCATCATTGACAATTTTATGCTTATTTTTCCAGTTGAATTTAAAGGTTTCTATTTTTAATTCGAAATAGCTGTATTAGTTGTTTATTTTATATTTTTTTTAATTCAAAACTGGCCTGCAATTGACTGCCATCCCACCTGATGGTAAGTTGCGATGGTATTGGTTTTTATAATGTTCAAACTACTAACTGGCCTCATTTTGTGTATAAGTGTCTTCTTCGGTCAGCAACACTAACCTAAATTTTACGTTATAGTAGGTAATAGTACATGAACGAAGGGAAAGTTTAATATATGTAACCAATGTTCTGTGGGTGTGGTACAATTTTTTATAAGGGTCTGTCCAGTGACTATCTTTCATTCTTCCTAATGGTAAGTGGAGATGCGGCCTCTTGCCTTGAAGACACCCGCATAATATTTGGACTGATGGACAGAGTATTTAAAGAATACAATGGACACAATAGCTGTGGAATACAATTGTTGTAATCTTACTCAAAACCCGCGCGAAATGCGACAGCCACGTGGCAAGGATGCTCACTCACCGACGCACGGGTTGTGGTTGACCACGGCGAAGATGCGGTCACAGCGCTTCTTCATGTGAGTGTTGGGGCAGATGCATCCGAACAGCGGTGACAGACGGAGCCCCGACCAGGCCTCGCGGCAAGCCTCCCTAATGACAAATCATCATATTTTTTTATGTGAGAAAATGGCAAACGAGCTGGCGGTCACCTGATTTTAAGTGATAACTGCCGCCCATGGACGTTTGCCACTTCCGTAGGGTGCAATACGTTGCCCCCTTTTAATAAAGTGGGCTCCGGCTGCCTCAACCACCCGACGTAACGCAGATGTGTAACAATACTACTTCACACCAGTCGTGGTACTAACCCGGATGGACCTGCCCATTCGTGCAATATTACGTTAAAATATCACTGATAGGGCAGTAGCTTCTGCCTCGATCTTCTTGGTTTTCCCAGTCGGTATGTATGACTGTTTGAATAAAACAAGTCTATTCATAGTTAACGAGATTATCGTTACATTCACGAAAGCCTGTAGAGTGATTTCCATTACCTGATTTCTAATGTTTATTTAGAAATTGAGTACTAATTCAATATGTCAGATTTCAGACGCGCAGCAGTTTAAACACAGCGGTCACTGATCCCAATATAGTTTGCAAATGAATGTAGAAATAGTTTCACGAGTACTAGTTCCGCCGGATTGAAATAAGCATAGGTGCTGACTGGATCGATACAGTTCAACAACTTTAAATGGTATTTTTAAACTGGCGCGCCGAGTTTCACAATTTAAAAATCGTATCCAATGATGCGGACGCAAAGATGAGCTTCCTGTAAATTGCTGAATAGTGTGAAATTGTCTGAAGCGATAACTTGATTTAAGTTTATATTTCTTTCTTTAAATTGACTTTATACTCTGTACTAAATTTATAAAAAACTGTATGATGAGCATTTATTATGCGTAAATTGATGTATATTACGATTTTCGAAGTTATGCTGCTTCTTTTGGCGCGTTTAGGGTAAAATTTTTACAGCGATATCATGAAGTACGTCGCAAAGCGAGGTTGAAAGATAACTTCGGTATACGGTAATAACATGGCAACTAATATAGTTAATAAATAATATAAATTTTTAGTTTTTTTTGTTACACTAAAGAAGTATAACTTGTTACGTGCGTACATAAGTATCCATCTAATTTCTTTTTATTATATCAACAGCATTTGAAGAGAAACATTGACATTATTTCTGAGATGGTGACAAATTGTATGGTGTTTCGAATTATTAATAAGCTTCTTAATCGAGTCTGATGCTTCACACGTGTGCGTTATGGAAGCTGACCCTTCCGGTATCTAGTACCGTTGTACGCTTGTGTGACTGAATTTGTCGCTATAGTGTACCGGTACGGTGCAACTGACCTATCTTCCATGCGGCATTCTCCATCGCGGGCCTTGCAGGCGTTCTTGAACCTCTCGAACAGCACGGAGCATGGTTTCTCGCTGTGGCAGACGCTGAGGGCATAGGTGCAGGTCGGCAGAGTTTCGACGGGGTACGGGTCTTTCTCTGCGAGGAAAACACATTCCTTAAATATATTCGGCCTGCTTGAGTAACGAAATCACCGAATGATAATATAGTACAGTCCACTTTGCTATCTATAATTGAAACAAATCGTCTCAATTCAATTGGATGACGAATCATGCAAGTCAGGCGTACCGACAAAAATCTTGAGAAATAATATATAGAGATTTCTGGGATTGGTGGTAGTAAAATTAACCTTAGTCGACGTAGATATGTGAAAGACGCAAATATTACACAACACAATAGTTACGTTATTTAATTTGAGGCATTAATAAATCTCGATAGATGATGATTCAAAATAAGTTACTTTTTACTTTTCTCTTCTTCAAAATAATTCGCCGTTGTGGGAATCGAACCCACGTCTTCGGCGTTCGCGGCCTGACGCTCTAGCCACTGAGCTAAACGGCTGATTGCCACACCGACGAAAATCTTAACGTATTCTTCTACATTGTTTTCTTAGCATTTGAAGCAATGCTTGGCGCCATCTATTGTTATATCCTTTCCAGCATACAAACAATTTCGAATATCGTTTTACAACGATAATTCGAATGAGAGATGTCGCCATTGCTTTTTTAGAAATTTAAATTGTTTATAGTGGTAATCTCTGCACTTAAGATTGAACATTAAAATATGTAGAAAAAGTGCGAAAAGATTGTCGCCGTTGTGGGAATCGAACCCACGTCTTCGGCATTCGCGGCCTGACGCTCTAGCCACTGAGCTAAACGGCTGATTGCCACACCGACGAAAATCTTAACGTACTCTTCTACATTGTTTTCTTAGCATTTGAAGCAATGCTTGGCGCCATCTATTGTTATATCCTTTCCAGCATACAAACAATTTCGAATATCGTTTTACAACGATAATTTGAACGAGAGATGTCGCCATTGCTTTTTTAGAAATTTAAATTGTTTATAGTGGTAATCTCTGCACTTAGGATTGAACATTAAAATATGTAGAAAAAGTGCGAAAAGATTGTCGCCGTTGTGGGAATCGAACCCACGTCTTCGGCATTCGCGGCCTGACGCTCTAGCCACTGAGCTAAACGGCTGATTGCCACACCGACGAAAATCTTAACGTACTCTTCTACATTGTTTTCTTAGCATTTGAAGCAATGCTTGGCGCCATCTATTGTTATATCCTTTCCAGCATACAAACAATTTCGAATATCGTTTTACAACGATAATTCGAACGAGAGATGTCGCCATTGCTTTTTTAGAAATTTAAATTGTTTATAGTGGTAATCTCTGCACTTAAGATTGAACATTAAAATATGTAGAAAAAGTCGAAAAGATTGTCGCCGTTGTGGGAATCGAACCCACGTCTTCGGCATTCGCGGCCTGACGCTCTAGCCACTGAGCTAAACGGCTGATTGCCACACCGACGAAAATCTTAACGTATTCTTCTACATTGTTTTGGAAACAGTCGAGAAGCGTAAATAACTACTGTTTATTCTTATCTAGAAACTAAACTTATTTAGCTTTTGGATTTTATAAAATGTCTTTATTAAAGTCCAGCTAAGCAATGGCGTTAGTAATGGTATTTTAACCTCCTTTTTCACGGAAAAGGAGGCAAGCGAGCAAATAGGCCACTTGATGATAAGTGATCACCATCGCTCATGGACATTTGCAAGACAGTATGATCTAGGAACAGCATATTCAGTAATACCACAGGTGACAACAGTGGCACAAAATTTAGGGAGAAACGCACACTGGTAGGCTACTACCTATCAAGGTGATATTGATGGTATTTGTCTGAACGCGTAGTAGTTCTATTAGCTAAACTCATTGTAAATTCAGAGACACGTAACATCTCGTAAATGAACATCTAACTAGTAAATGATCGAGGCGATTGGAGATGATTGACGGTTGATGACCCTAATGATGGACGTCACTCCAATTAAGAATTATATTGAAGCAACTTAAATATTAAAATGGGCATCTCAGAATGCTGATTTAGTTATATCGTTCTCAAAGGGAATCTGAGTTGCCCGTACTTAGTGAGCAGCGGTGTGCGGTTTTTCTATCGGGGAGAAAATACCTCCGTTTACTCAAAGTTAAATTAAAAGCGTGGAACGTGTGCAAGTAGTTTCTAAATTCGAAACGAAAATTTCTTATTTTAGTTATTTAACAATGTCTGCTTTTCTAGCTAAATTGCGAGTAAGAATCTTGTTGATCTTAAAAACTGACGGTGTCTCTTTGATTATGGTTTTGATTGATAAAGCATTAATATTTTGTAAAAATGGACAATATCTCGGTCTCTTTTATTTTATATAATCTTCGTTAATTAAATTAGCACTACAATATCTGTGAATAAATTCAAATGTCGATGTTATGATATCTGTTTTCGGGACAGGCCTCACAGAAGACCGGCGTAAAGTAGAAGTGTTGCACTTCTGCGCTTCGTCTGGTGAGTGAGGTAGCCGGGGCCCACATTATTCTTCTTCTTTTCGTGTTGATGGCAATACCTATTTACACGATATCGGCCTAAAATTATGACACATGATTAAGAGGTGGTAACGCATCTGCAACCCTACGGGTGTTGCAAATGTCCATGGGCATATGGTAATCACTTAACATCAGGTGAATCGCCAGGTCGTTTGCCACTTTTACACATAAAAAAATTATTAAAAAAGATGTTGTAGTGACCCTACAATATCTTGTAGGGTCACTCAACATCTTTTTTTATTATTATTTTTTATTTATCTTTTTTTATTTTTTTTATTGTGCAACATTTTATTGAAACCTTACCTTTCTTCATGACGAACACGCAGGGATGGTCGAAGAGAAAGTCGCGGAAGGAGTTGCATTCGGGGTCCACGTTTGGCTCTCGACAGAGGCATGTCGGCTTGAAGAAAGGAAACGCTTGCAGAGTCCTGAGGGCGGCCTGGCATTTCGTAACGGTCACAGTCGAGCAAGCCACTGGAACAAAAATAGTAGCATTAACAAACTCCAAAGATGTAAAATACTCGTCGACTCGTTATATATTTTTTTATATTTAAGGGAAGGCGATAAATTAAAGGATTCAGCTAATTGTTTCCCTCCGCTAATAGACATTTGCAACAGCTATGAGTTTGCAAGGCGTGGTCAACAGTCAATCTAAAAGTCTGTTGGTCTTAGCACTTCTAAGGAAGAACGGCTCCCTCATGTAACATCAGAATTTGCTTTGTAGGCCTACTAGGATATAAATAGAAGTAATCAGTAATTTTGATATGAGCTTTAGAGCCTAAAAGGCGCGTAGAATCATCATTATAATCATCCTCCTGCCCTTACCCCACGAACCCACGACCCTCGACGTCGAAGCTAATAGTCGAGTCATCAAAAGGCGCATATAATAATAATAGCAATGGCCGAATAGCCGTAGTTTGGAAGGTGGATTTTTAAAATGTTGTAAAATATAAACATTTGCTGCAACATGTTTGAAATACGCACAAGAAGAAAGATATGTAATTTAATATCTGGACTAAGGTGATATTGTAATAGCCAAGCCCCACTAAGCCTGTTGAACTAGAGATAATTAAGAATTGAGTCGACAAAAGGCATTAACCTTAATGGATTATGTCAAATCCAATCTTATATGAAACTTCCTTTCATTTGTAGGGTAGAGCAAAAACTGTTCCTACAATAGTACCTACAAATAGATTCAAAGAATGAATGAAGCGGAAGTTTTTGCACTGGTTTGATTAAGCCTTCCTCCGGAGCAGATTTTTTCCCTCTAAATTACTTTATTAGCAGACTACTCCATGATTTTGATCTGTTAAAATGAAGTAAATTCTTATATAAACTTAATAGCATTATGGAATTATAGTACCTTATTCATTATCGATAACTTCTAAAATAAAATAGAAAACTAAAAAGATAGAAGATAGATAGAAGAAAATAGAAGGTGTTCTATACCGCATTTTTATATTCACTCTACTGCTAGAGACCACAATACCAGATGGAATTGGGGAGCTCTGTGTCAGATCTACGACTCAATTTAACTTAAACTAATCCACGAAAATCCTACATCAGACAAGGCTCCTTGATATATAAAAATGTGCAACCATAATTTAGGCGGAACTATCAGTTGTTAATATATAAATATTGAAGCCAACTCAAGACTTCAATGATTTAAGACAAGCTCTGATGAGCCTAAGGCCTGTCATAAACCGAGGTTAATTATTTATTTTATAAAATTAGCTTGGTAAAATTTTGTGTCAATTGTATAATCGATATAAAATAATGATATTAAAAATATCATTTATATACATGTTGTTTATAATACATATTAAAATATTTATCAATTGTTTTTATTACGGTTTTAATGTTAAAAGTATAAGTTAATTATTAGAAATTGTTGATATTGCGTTTTTAAAAATAAAAATAATTGTTTGTGATTTGATTTTAAATCTCGATATCGTCCAAAACATAAGAACGTGAGCTACCACTTGTATAAAATGAAGTACCTGGAGGACCGAGCTTTGCTTTGTATTTTGTAAATTACATTTAGATACAATTTACTGAGTTATGAAATATGCATAATATTTTTCTGATAATTATAAGAAAATATGGACTGGTGTTTTTCACAAAAGAAAGAACTTAAAACTTTCTTAAAATTCCTTAGCTGTACTGATGATGAATGACGAATTGAATCGCTTCGTTGTTGTGCGTGGAATGTCGATAGCATAAGGGTGGAGCCCCGCCAAGCGCCATGCAACACCAACGCACACTCGGCAAAATGCACTCTACTCTGCGCTTCCGAAATCTTTCCGAAAATGGGGTTGTCGCCTTGGTAAACGACGATTTATGCTTATCAATTAGGTTAATAAAAAAAAAGTTAAAGTAAAGTAACAGCCTATAATTGTCCCACTGCTGGGCAAAGGCCTCCTCTCTAAAGAGGGTATCAGGGCATAGTCTACTTCGCGGCCCCACTGCGGGTTGGCGGATTTCACATATTTTCGAAATGTTTTTTTATTATTATTATTTCGAAAACATGCAGGTTTCCTCCCGATGTTTTCCTTCGCCGCCGAGCACGTGATAATTTCATTGCAATTTCATTGGTGCTGGCACCGGGGATCGAACTCAGGTTGCTCGAGTAAATGTAATTAAAGGCCCGGACACTGTTCTAATATATCTTATCCTTTAATCGAGCAATTCTTATATATTTTCTTATAGATACAAGCGGCCCCAAAAGAGACGGCCTCTTGTATCTTGTATTAACTGATGTTTTTGCTTTCAGTCCCGAGACTATTAAAGCTTCATCTGACGCAGAACCGTCGGGATAGCCAGAACCCATGGGTTTGGGCCCTCCGCTGTGGGTAGGGCCGCGCATGTGCTCATGCGTGCGTTTAACTACGACATGTCATCTAAGGGCCATCGAAGTTGCGGTGCGGACCGAGACCCCGATGGCCGTCGACTGTGATTTTAGCTAATCGGTGGCTGGGAGCGGTGAGAACCGCCCCGGAACGCGGGTGTACCTTCTGCACGCGTTGTGTGGGTCTCGCCGTGCTCGGAGGCGAGGGCGAACTGGTGTGATTGTTGATACACTAACTGTAGGTGTAGTGTTATCCGGCGGGACCCCCGGTGGTGGGTCCATCGTATCTAAGTCCTCTTCGTCGACCGGGTCGATGAGGACGTTTCGCGGGCGACGCTTGTTTACGTTCGCGTTAGTGTCCGGTTGGTAGTTTGCTGCGCTTACCACCAGAGGGTTGGGATGATGTTGGGCTCTGTCGAAGAACCGTTTTGTCAAATCTTTAAAATGTGCGCGTATCGTCGGGAGTCTGCAATCGCTGTGCAGGTCGACGTTGCGCTGATACCATTGCGCACCGGTTGCGCGGCGGATAAACTTACTTTGAACTACTTGCAATTCGTTAATGCGCGTAGGATTTATATGTGCGAAGATCATGCATGCGTAGGACATGATTGGCCTTACGCAAGCTTTATATAACAGTAATTTGTGCCTTAAGGGCATTTTACTTTTCTTATTCGTTAAATTGTGTAGCCGGCCGGAGACGAACGCGGCTTTATTTCGGACTTGATTGATGTGCGTAGTGAAAGTCATACGCGAGTCGAAAGTGACTCCTAAATATTTGACCGTTTTCTCCCAGGGGAGAGTTTGGCCATATAGTGATATTTGCCCCAACTTTCTGTACTTTTTTCTGGATTAATATTGATTCTCCATTTGCGGAACCAATCGCCGAAGCGGTCGGCGGCGCTTTGGAGTCGAGTCGTTAATTGACTGAGGTTGCGATCTGAGTAAAAGAGCGCCGTGTCATCCGCGAAAGCGCGAGACTGACGTGGGGGTCTCTAGGTATGTCGCTCGTGTAGAGCGTAAATAACAAGGGTGAGAGGCAGGAGCCTTGTGGTACGCCGGCCGTGAGGCGGCGGCTTGTGGAGAGGGTGCCCTCGACTCGATATCGAAAAGAGCGGTTCAACAAAAAGGCCCGGATGGTGTGTACGAGCCTATCTGGCACTTGAGTGTGTACAGCTTGTAAAGCAAGCCGTTGTGCCAGACTTTGTCGACTGCTTTTGCGACGTCGAAGAAGAGAGCCCCTGTACTAAACACATGTTTGGGGTGGTTAAGGCCTTTTAGGATGTGCTCTGTTAGGCGGTATAACTGATCGGGACAAGAGTGTCTAGCTCGAAAGCCGAATTGTTCCGCCGGCAGAAGGCCGTTGGAAAATATGTGCTCTTTGAGCCTGTTTAACAAAAGCCGCTCGTAGAGCTTCCCCAGGCAACTGAGGAGGCTGATGGGACGATAGCTAGAGGGCTGATTGGCTGGTTTATTCGGCTTGCGAATGCCGATAACCGTGGCTTTCTTTCAGTCGTCCGGAAAGGAGCAACTGGAGAGAAGGGTATTGAAAATGGTCGCCAGTAAACAGATAAGCGGCCCAGGGAGAGCTTTGAGAATCTTATTACTTATGTTATCTGGGCCGGGGCGGATTTTGGTTTTAATTTTTTAATAATATCTTGGACCTCTTCGGGGGTCACTGAATTTAAAGGTTCGCCTTCCGGTGGAAGCGCAGCCCTAGTCTCGATTACGCGGTCCACCTCCGTTAGGTGGACTGAATCGGTGTGTTCGCGCGATGGCGTACATTGCTGCTCTAGGTTGTCCGCAAGGCATTCGGCTTTTTCGGAGTCATCTAGGGCTACAGAAGCGCTATTAGATCTAACTAACGGCGGTAGAGATTCTCGGGGGTCTGCTTTCAGACTGCGGGCCAACCACCAGTAGGCGGTGTGCGATGGCTCGATGTCCTCTAGGAGAGTGTCCCACGTTGTATGTCGGTGTTCCGATACACGATCTTTGACTTCTAGCTGAAGGCGTCAAAGTAGGGTTCGGTTCGATTCCGATCGGTATCGGTCGAAGGCGCGTTTAGCTGCATTTTTTTGTCTAATTAGCAGTCGTAGGTTGGGCGGAAAGTTAAACCGTCGGTCGCCCGACAGTTTCACCGTCCGTTCCGAGTCTGTGACTGCGGAAGTAATAGTTTCACGGAGACTCGCTATCGCGCGATTTGCGTCATCGAACGTAGCTATCGTCTCGGGTAAGTCTACTAAGTCCTGGGGGTCCAAGACCTTGAGTTTGACCTCAAGACGATGCCAGTCCACTACGGATTTGGTCGGAGGGACCGCGCCGGCGTTCTGGCCCAGTTTACACAGGACGGGCCTGTGGTCTGAGTCTAGTTCGTGGATTGTCTCTACCGACTCGATGTCGAGCGAGACCTCCCTGAATAACATTATGTCTAGGACACTCGGTGACGCGTGCTGGTAGTTGTCCACCGTAGGACACCTAGTGAGAGTCGCGGGAGCGACTATACTAAAATTTAGGTTATCGGATAAGCTAAAGAGATGCTTTCCGTTGTTGTTTGGGATGCTGTTGATGTCCCATGAGTCGTGTTTGCAGTTTAGATCTCCTGCAATTATCACGGAAGGGCCTAAGTTAAGAAGCGTATCTAGGTCGCTTTGAAGGAGGGTTCTATTCCCCGAGAGGTAGGCTGAGACTAGTACAAGCGGCCTGTGGCCGGTGAGCGCTAACCTACACGCGGATGCCTCTATTTGACTTAGCTCTGGAATGTCGAGCGGGCAACAGTGCTAGGACCGTTTATAATAAATAAGTGTGCCTCCCAGACGGTTTGCTAACCGGTCGTGGCGGACAATATTGTAATTTGCGATTCTGGGATCGCGTACACTAGGTTTCAAGAATGTCTCTTGCACTAGGAAAATATCTACGTTATAATCGCGAAGGAATTCCGCGATATCATCCCTTTGACCCTTTATGCCGTTTGCGTTGAAATACGAAACAACCAGAGCCCGAGGTTTTGTTCTACCTGCGGTTGTACT